TATATATATATATAAATAAGAGACAAAAAAGGGTTTACACCAAATGGAAGCTAAAAGTCGACTACCAAAAGGGGTATTTTCTTTTATATATAATATAGGTTAAATTGTATTTTTATTCTCCTATAATATCAAATTTGCAATTTTGATCTTTTTATTTTTATTTTTTCAGTTTTAGTCTTCCAATTTTATAAAATTTGCTAATTTGACTCTCTTGTTGAATGTTCATCCAATCGTTAAAATGGTAAAGTTAACCATGATATGTAATTAAATAGATAACATAACAATTACTATTTCATAATATTTAGGTTAAATTTCACTTTTATTTCTCATTTTTATCACAAAAATAATAAATTGAAATATAAAAAATTGGATAAAAATGAGGATTAAAAATGTAATTTAATCTAAATATTATTAAATACTTAAACGAGAATCCTCCAAAAGGAAAGAAACACGATTTTTTGGCTTGGTATGCTCTAAGTTTAACAAAAAGGAGGCTTTTTGACCATTAGTGATATTGTGAAAATATTTTATACATAGGATTATTTTAAAATTACTTACACCTTTGGACAATTAACACCGGGTGTCATTAGTTAACCTAGTGACTACCATGCCACATCACCTTCTTTTTTTTTTGTTAACATGGCTCAAAAGTGGGACACATGGCATCGAGGTAGGTGATGTTGGAGCAGCTTGCGGTATGATGTGTCACACTAATAACTCTGGTGTCACTATTTTTTATTTTATTTTTTTAATAGTGTTGTTGTGGATTATGAAAACACTATTTTTTTAATAATGGTGTTGTGGACAATATGAGGACTTATTTTTTTTTAATAGTATCGTTGTGGATTATAGGAGGACATGTCTTTTTTTTTTTTTTTGGGTTAAAACCCTATTTTGGTCCCTTATAATCTTTTTTTGTTTTAATTTAGTCCTTTATTAATTTTTGGTCTCAAATTGGTCCCAAATTAATTAATTGGTTTCAATTTAGTCCCAAATTAATTAATTAGTTTCAATGTGGGACTTCCGTCCAAATTATTTAAACGGAGTTAACTTTTGGCCACGTGGATGCTACGTAGATGCATACGTGGCATCCACGTGGATGAGGAAATTCTTTTTAATACACCTGGACCCGGAACGGCCCGTTCTGAAACCGGAAAGGGCCGTTCTGGTTGCAAAATTAAAACACCACCAGTGAAGCAGAACAGGTCGTTCTGAAATCAGAACGGGCCGTTCTGCTTTCAAAATGGGCCGTTCTGAAATCAGAACGGGCTGTTCTGGTTTCAGAACGGCCCGTTCCAGAACTGTGAATAAAATATTCTTTACTTAATTGTGTTTTTGATATTATAATTATGCAATTTTGATCTCTAAGGTTTTAATTGAGTAATTTCAGTCCTTAAAAGATTATAATTGTGTAATTTTAGTCTCACAATTTTTAATTGAACAATTTTAATCTCTCAAATATCATAATTGTGGAATTTTAGTCTTTCTCATTAAAAATTTAATAATTTTAAAATTTTAATATATATATATATATATATATATAATGTTTTAAAACTATATAATTGTTTGTTTATTTAAATTAACGTATATTATTTTTTTTAATGTATCAAATGATATATATTTACTATTACTAAATAAATAAAATTTATATATTATTAGTATTTTAATATTACTGATAAATTAATATCAATAATATTTTTACCCTTTTTATAAATAAACTAATAATTTGATAAATATAACTTAATATATATTAATATACTTTTACAAAAATATAAATATATAAGATCAGATATATATTTCTAATTAATATACTTATATTTTTGTAAAAGTATATTAATATATAACAAGTTATATTTATCAAATTATTAGTTTATCTATAAATATATTAATAATATTATTGATATAATATCGAAAATTATAATATACGTTAATTTGAATAGATAAATAATTGTTTAATTTTAAAACATTATATATATATATATATTAAAATTATTAATTTTTAATGGGAGAAACTAAAATCGTACTATTATGATATTCGAGGGACTAAAATTGTTCAATTAAAAATTGAAGGACCAAAATCGCGCAATTGCAATTCTTTAAGGACTAAAATTACCCAATTAAAATCTTGGGGATCAAAACTGCACAATTGTAATACTTGAGGGATAAAAAATGCAATTAAACCAATATTCTTTATTAATTTTATTAAAAAATATAATAATTTTGAAAAATATTTTTTTATGGTAAAAATTTTAAAATTACTTATTTTTATAAAATACAATTGTCTTATAAATAGAGTAATAATTTTTTCTTTTTCTCTTTCTGTTTGAAGAAATATTTAAGTGTCACTTTATAATTTTTTGTAATTTATTTAAAATTAGAGGAATAAAATGATAAAAATTAATAAGATAAACATAATAAAATAAAATATATAAAAAATATTAATATATTTATTTTATTGGATATAATAACATAATTAATAATATAATTAATAATATATATTTTATAAAATTATTAATATTTTATATATAAAAAAATAAAATAAAACCGGAACGACCTGTTCTGAAACTGGAACGGGCCGTTCTGGTGCACTTTTGGGTGTGTTAATTTTGCACTTGGAACGGGTCGTTCCGGATGCAAAATTAACACACCAAAAGTGCACGCAGAACGGCCCGTTCTGGTTTCAGAAAGGGCCGTTCTGGGTCCAGGTGTTTTCAAAAAAAATTTCATCCATGTGGACGCCACGTATGCATCTATGTGGCGTCCACGTGGCCAAAAGTTAACATCGTTAAAGCAACTTAGACGGAAAGTCCCACATTGAAACCAATTAATTAGTTTGGGACCAAATTGAGACCAAAAATTAATGAGGGACTAAATTGAAACAAAAAAAGATTATAAGGGACCAAAATAGGGTTTTAACCTTTTTTTTTCTACATGTGTTATTGTAACCACTTGCACCATTTGAGGACTTTTTTTTTAAAAGTGTCATGGGTGCCCATTATAAGACATGTTATTTAAATTTTTAATGTGTCACAATTGTGACTAGCAAAACATGTTATTACTAGACTTTTTAATTTATTTATTTCCCATTTCTTCTCATATACATTTATGTTTTCCTTATTGATCAAATTTGAACGAGTTTTTTTAGTCTGTTTCATAGGTACAAAAATGACTTCTATACTTTCAATTGTTTTTTACAAAGGAAAAACTACAACTCATCCCAAAGGAATTACATATGAATGTGATACGATTGATGAAGGCATTATTTTACACAGGTTAAAGAATCAAATCAAGAAAGTCATTAGAGTAAGAAGTGTTGACAATATAAAAGAACTTCATTATCAACATCCAGTTTATTGTCATGAGATGATTGTATTGATTATGATTCCCTTCAACTTATGAATGATGATGATGTAGATTACATGTTTTGTGTAAATAGATTAATTAGGCACATGCTATCATGTCATGTTGTTGGTAATAGAGGGACATGCATGGTCGCTTTTCACACTAGTTGTTAGGA